CTAAACTATCCTTGTGAGCTGCCTGAGTTTTTAAATAACCTTATTTCTCTTCAGTACCTTAATATAAAGTGTAATATAAAGTTTTGCTTTGTTTTTAAAAATCCTCTCTTCTGTTGACACTGGGGGGCTGTTGACATAAGTCAACGACTTATGTTATCTATTAAACATGGATCAACCTGCATCCACCACCTCTGAACAGCTGGTGCAAAAGATCCACCATTTCCCACTCACAATCCAGCCAGAGCAGTGCCAACACATGGCAGTCTCCTGCTTGCTGAATTTTGGTAAAGGGCACGATTTAAGAGTTGACATGAATATGTTCTATCTTTCCCCATGTCCCTTCCTTTCACAAGGAGCTGTTCTGTGCAAGTTCAGCACTACTCTCTTCATGTAGGATTAGCCACGATGTTCCCAGTCATCACGATGGACTAAGCAAGGAGTAACTTCCCCACTCACCTACACATACTTCATTAAAACCATGTATTTTTTCTCAGATATAGGACAGAGATAATGAGCTCTCTCTTACCCTATTAGATTCAGTGTTGTTATTGTTCCATTATATATATACACACATACATGTTCCATTTTTCAATGATCACCTCTCCTGTCTGTACAGCCTCCATACCCTCTTCTCTGTTCACAAAACAGGGCAATGTAACTTTTAAGATTTCTGAGGTTCTTTATCACGTTTGCTGCCCTCTAAGGGAACAAAATTCCACCATAATGGTCACATTACCATGGTCATAATTTCTTAGCGTGTGATGTGGCATTCTCATTCCATATCCCAGCTTCATTCTGTAAGTATCCTTTTACTTGGGATACTCTACATTATATTTTGTTGACTTTATTGTAAAAGTTCAGTATTTATAAAATAGTAAGACCAGGCAGTATTTTGAAGAATGCACACCTTTCAGGTAATGAGCAGTAAAACATCCTCACCGTGACTCATTTTGAAAAGATAAATCATTTCAATTCTCTCACTTAATTGAAAATTCATTTCCAGAGAGGTAAAGGCTGCCTGATATTTCAAAAGTTATGGGCAAGATAATCCTGCCTCCTGCTTCCCCCAGTTAAAATGACATTTTTCAAAGAGCAAAAGCAAAAGTGATAAATTTCTGTAACTCACCATAAAGCAAATTTCTATGCCAGTTTAAAAGTAAGAAAAGTACTAGATTTAACTCAGTATGTTGAAAATACGCCTAGGTGTACCTATGAGACATTCCTCAAGTCTGAATGAAATCTGCCCAATATTATAGAGGCTGCACTGTAAATGGACGAGCCAAATGTTAACATATGTAAATTCAGGAAATAAGGAAAGTTATAAATGGACTTGGTTATGCAGACTCAATGTTACAGCACAGCTCCAGAATTAGCTCTTTTAAAACATTCTTTTAAATTTTTGAAACATTAATTCCTGAAGGACAAACTTTTCATTTCCTTCATCATTTCTGCAAGCTCTGTAAGAGTTGGCTTCTTTTAGTACAGGAAGAGACCAAGGCTTTTCCCCCCCCCCCCCCCCATGATTTTTACATCTCTAACATCAGCATAGTACTTGAATTGAGAAATGTAGAATATAAAATGCTTCAAGAGTTTCACTGACAGGTTGTACAATATGCTACTACTGGGAGAAAGCAAATAGGAATGTTTTTCTCAGTGCAGCTGGGGCAAATATGAAGGGACTTGCTGGAATCAAAATTAAAATTATGTCAACTGAAAAACACCAGTAAGTTGAATATTGCAAGTTACTGTCATAACTGATCAGAACAGTTTAAAGTAAAAATGCATGCACAGCAGTCAGCAGATGAGAACAATGAAAGCATTGTTAAGTCTACATGAGGATAGATTTAAAAACTGAAACACTCACAAGCAACTTACACAACCCAGGCACTCAGTAAATGTCCCGGCAAAAGTGTTTAATGTATTCCTGGGATGTTAAAAGGGGAAAACATTTGCAAGTGTAGGGGACTATCTTGACTGAAAGCAGAAATTGTAACATAATGCCTAGAATACCATCCCTGATCCCAGTGTCTGTCCCTTCCTGACATGCGATGAAACTGAAAAACATTTAATGCTAAGTCAGTGAGATTGCTCAGTGGTTAAAAAACTACATCAGCAGCTCAAGTTTTCAGCACACTGAATGGAGAGTTGAGAAAGAACTTGAAAATTAGTAGACATACTTACAGTGATTTTTTAAAATTTCGTAGTGGAAATAATTACATGAGAATGATTGTAGTAGGGGAAGGAGAAAATATCTTTAAGGAAAACAAGCCAGCTTTCCAGCACATGGATGATAAATCCTATCTCAGGAGGAAATGTGAGATCTATGTAAAAACAGAGGGGGTATCTGTGTATCCAAGTTGGTTGGTAGCAATTTTCCTTAATGATGTTAAACTCTGACTCTACGAGGCCTCCTTGTTTGTTCCACGATGCACAACAAGGGGAGCAATAACATGAAAATGTTTACTACCCTCATTAAAATATAAACACTGGCAGTTTTGCATTAAAATACATATTTTAACATTCATGTGTCAAGGTTTTAGCCAGTTGTCTGCAAGGGTCTACTAGCACAGGATTAGGACTGCTCTGCTTTTTTAAGGAATTCCAATGCTTCTCACCATAATATTATGAGCAAATACCCTGATTTTGCTCCCATAAGGGTAAACAGACAGCTTAATTAGCACAGTAATAGCTTAATATTCACATTCTGTAAGTAAAGCAGTTGTTACAAATAAATACCGATACTAAAGAACTTGGGGCTCTCCCTTTTCAGTTACAGAACCAGTTTGGCACCAGAAGAGCTTTCCCTGCTCCTCAGAGCTCCACCGGCAGTGCCCTTAGCTCCGAGGAGGGACATTTGACATTCCAGCACACACTTCTGCAGAATCAGAATAAGACAGCAGGGGAAATCACACAAGGAAAATTTGGCCCAGAATAAAAATAGAATGGTTTCCTGCTGCGACCACCCCAAAATTCCTGAACAACTGCCTGTGGGAAGCTTTTCTGGCATGCAGCCTGTTTGGGACAATTCTGGATATGGAAGAGTTGGCTACTGGACGTCTGGTCTCCTCAGCTTCAAAACCAGCGAGATGAAGTAATGACTGTGAGTCAAACCAAAAAGGACTTGCAGATCATTAGCGGGTTCTCCTAAGTCATCCAGCTACACTAGATGGCTTAAGAATGTATTGGAATTTTTTAAAAATTCCTAATTTATTAGTTTTATGTTTTAAGAGTAACAGAGTGGCAAGAGCTCAAGAGGGAGAATGTTGACGTAAGAAAGAACAAAAATGAATATGGTGCCAGCAAATTCAATTATATCAGCGAAGCCACTTCTGTGCTAAAAGTCTGAATCTACAGTAAATCTGACATAGAGCAGGATGAAATTATGCTAAATTGCTATATTAAAAAAAAAAAACAAACCAAGAAAACACCACCATACAACAAACCAACATACAGACTAAAATTAAACCGTAATTGGATTTGTCATTTCAAAGTATTAGCATCAGATTTCCACATAATGCAGGGTGACATATTCTTGTGCTAATAAATAGAAAGTTAGAAAAGTAAACAAAGCCTGTGTTTCTACTGTAAGGAAATACGTGCGCCAATGAAGCAACCTTTTCAGCACAGAAGTAATTTAATACCCAAACCACATGAAAAGTGATCTCTCTGGGAATAGAACAGCTGCTAAAATCCAAGTCAGTTTTTATTAAATCGTCAAGTCTGTTTATGTAAAACTGGGCTCTCTTTAAATGATCTCCGAGAGGAAATTATTTGCTAACAAAAAATTGATACCTGCATTTATCTATATAGGTGTACATTTTTATTCTTTTTATATATTGGTATGTCTTGGATTGGAGATAAAAAAAAAAAAAGAAAAAAAAAGAAATAAGCTTATTCTAACAGTTTAACTCCTCAGGCTCCACCATCAAATTTTAGCTACTGCTGAGCTGTCAGCTATTCAAAAGGGTAGACCAAACTGCTGTTATTTTTAGAAATGTGCAAGTTTAATGCTTCAACTTTTGAGGAGAAATGCACATTAAGCGTCCTTCAAAACTTGTCAAATGAACCCAGGTAGCCCAGAGGAATAAAAGGAATACTGTAGAATAAGATATTGTGCAAGTTCTCAAAAAAATGACAGTGGCCCAGGAGTTTTTGATGGCTGTTTGAAAGAAAGGCAAGTGCAGTGAAAAGAACAGAAAGAACTTCTTGCAGTCGGTCTCAAGATACACAAAAGGGAACCAAATCAATGGCACTCCCAAGCAGTCCAAACCACGAGTCAAAACCTCTGAAACATCCTATCAAGATATCCCACTCAAAACTTCTTGAACTTGCACTACATGGCCATAGAAAACTTGTGAGAGAAAACTTTTCCAGGCCACAGTACAGGAAGACAATTCAAGAGCTGCCCCACTGTTCTGGCAGGACACAGCACGGAGCCAAGGAACAGCTGCAAACTGTGAGCTGACTCAGGACTGTCAACACCAGCACCAAAATGAACAGTCTCTTCAATTAAGAAGCAATTTTTTTTTCTCAATTGTTCTTTATATGTCTGTTTCGTATCACAAAACAGAAATTTAATATCTTTACAAATACACAAAGTTGCTTAAGTTCCAGAAAGCTAAAAAGTTGTATTTATCAGACATCAGAAAGAATTTCTTAAACAATATCAATCTTATTCCTTCCCACAAAACTAAAAGATATTGACAGTATTTACGTGAAAAACCTTTCAGAAATGTTTCAGAATCCATTCTCTTCTTGGATTCTTCAGCTGACTAGAACATTTACATGGAGATAGCATGCTAATAGGTGATGTCAAAGAAACTTGGAAAACAGCAAAAAAAGAAGGGTAGGAGGGCACAAGAACTTCAGCTGAAGCAAGCTGAAGCGATTCCAATTCCTAAGGAAGACAGACAAAAAGTCAAACATAAAGCAGTCCACAGTACTCCAAGACTGACCCAGAGCAAGACATATAAATAAAGCACAGACAAACTTAGACTTACCTTGGCTGAGCAGGCTGTGCACTTATCAAATGCCAGGCTGACTGGAAGAACATTATCAAATCTTGATAAAAATCCTCGGATCTAGATGAGGAAAGAAAATTACAATACTGTTTTAAAACACTCCCAGAATTCAACATGAACTGAAGATACACAATCTCTAACTAGGGTATATAACATTCTAACAGTCACCCTCAGTAACACCTGTAGTAAATTCATACTAACACATATTACTGTTTTTCTATATGCAAATAAAGGCACAACTATCTAAATGCAACACTATTTAGCCAGAAATAGAGGCACAGCACCACCTGCAGTTTGCCTTTTCTGAGTGCAAAAATTTGATCAAAAATAAAAAGTCATGGTATAACCAGTTAAACATACTTTTATCGCCCATTTCTAACATGTAGTCTGAAAATCCAGCTGTTGTGCATTACTAAACTGTAATGTTAATATGATAGTACTGATAGGTGAATTTAAAATTCCAGACCAAACACTTTGCAGCACGTTTGAATATTCAGACTATGAACTCTTTGGAGTATTGATCGTCCTTTTTATTCTGTGCTTTTATAGGCCTATTACAATGAAGAGATGTCATGAAGAACAGAACTTTAGTAACTCTGTAATACAAATAATAATGCCTTAATTTTGAAGTCTGTTATGGAAATCCATCCAACATACACTCCACACACTTAATGGAGCTGGAATGGCAGAGACCTGGGAAGCCAAAAGCAATTTATACTATTAAATACTATAACAGGTATTAATACAAAGGTATTTTTGCAGAAACGCCAAGCCATACATGGTATCAGAACACAAAAATACAGCCATTTTTTACACAAAGAAAGATGAAAAGAAAACAACAGAATCAAGCCTTTCTGGTACCACTGTTCTGTACTTCCAATATCCAAGGAACTCCAAGTCACTTCCTGGAAATAAATCCAGTTCATTTATGACAGTCCAAGAGTCTATGAGTGTGCAATGCTTTTTATCCATCAAGCAATACCATCTCAAAAAGAAGACTGCTGCATTAATTACTACCCCACTTTTTCCACAGTATTTGGCTCACCAAGTGAACAAAGACCAACATAAAACACCTCCCCAAAAACTAACAGTTAATTATAGACTCCTGGAGAAAATATTGCACTTCCCCAGTTGGTTAGATGGCTGACTGCTAAGAGAAACCAGCAGTTTGTAAAAGGATTAGATTTCACATTCTTTGACAAAAATATTATCTGTTTTCACTTGATACCAACTGAAGCTGTATTTGTGTTAGCATGTCTAAAAGAGAAGACATTCATAACAGTCACTAAATGTAAATGTGAAAACAGGTATAGGATTGACAGAAGTCACAACTCTATGAATAGTTTTCCAGTTAAAATCTATATTTGACACGAATCATATCTGAAAGCATACCCCAAAACAGAGATAGAACGCAAGTAAAAGGGATATAAACCAAATCAGAAAGCACTGACTGGACAGTTGATATTCTCATCAGTCAGAAACACGTGAACTGAGAAACCATTATTTTTCCACTAGAAACAGTATAATTTCTAAAGTTTACTAGGAAATATTCTAAAAAATATTAACTACATTATGTAATATTCCTTGCTTTTTGTTGGGGGAAAGTAAATAACTTCTTCACTATCCCTTTTTAGGTGCTAAGAGAAAGTTCAAATTGCAGATGTGTTTTTCGGAGGTCTGGAGCATATCCACTATTTGAGAACAAAATCACTGTATAAGACTCAAAGATTCAACTGTCAAAATTACTGAAATTATTTTCCCAAACAAACTGATCTAGCAAGAGTAAAATGTCTTTCATACTACCATTCCATATGATCCCAGGAGGCATTCTGATAATAATAGATAATTAATCCCGATAATTACAGACATTAGTTTGTCAACTAAGAAAGCAAAAACTTCTCCAGTGATAAATCAGTATCTGGATCAGCAAATGAACAAGACTTAGATTTGGATTCTGCTTCCTACTGAGATGTAAGAGGTCAAAATATCTCCCTCAGCAGCTTGTGTGGGCTGGACTTGACTGACAACAGCATTAGCATTGGAACTACAGATAACACTACAGGATATGGGAATAACTAAGTTATAATTAAGTAACACTGGGAAAGCAACAAACTTATCAATTAGTGCCAAAGCTGGAAATTGTTGAGACCCTTCCAGATGAGATCAAAAGTCCCAGCAGGGACAAAAGTCTCATACAGAGGGGATCTGAACCAGTCAATCAAGAACTGGATATTCCTGACCAGTCCCAAGCTGAGTGTCCACAGTAAAAAGGGGAAAAACTTCAGGGGACTCCTGAGAAAGAACTGAAGAGACTCCAGACTTCCTGGAGAGAGAGAACCCAGGGAGAATCTAGGGCACCCCACTGCATAAAATGACCCAAGTGTGCACACTGGTCATTACATAAAATTATAAACAAAATCAGACAGATTTTATACAGCCCAGACCCCGAGACACTTGGATGCTGCAAAGACAACATATTAGTAGCTTTATGTTTTTCTGAATCAAGATTCATTCTTGGTGTAAAAAACCCGCAAAAAACAACAGAACCTAAAAATACTGCTCAGAAACAAATAAATGGTTTATTTATACAATGGAAGCATACAGTCATTCGGATAGCAACATAAGGAAAGAGGCACAGAATAATTCTAGTTCCCAATGACAATATCAAAGAGGATATGACTGTGGGTAAAATCAGGAGACAGTTTTTTGACTGTATAATATAAGAAATAAGAACAAGTCTATCCAGCAATTTGAAAAACTTTATCCTTAGCACATTTGTAACTAGCGTTTGGGTTGAGTAAAAGAAAAAAGTGCTGTATTGTACCAAAAATACATGAATACTTTGGAGAACTATAATAATTGTGAGTTGGCTGGATTTGAATTTTTTTCATATTCTGAAGAGATTTAAAAAGGGAACAAAAGTCACTTAGAAATGATCATATTGTCAGCTCTGATGGGGAACAGGACAGTCAGAGGTTGCCTTATTCACATATTGCCTACTCCAAAGAAATTCTTGCTATGTAGATAGCAGGATCTGTGCATCCACAAGGAGGACAGACACAATGCCAGGAACACAACTACCTTGGCCTGTGTGATGGATTAATATTATTCATATATGTTTTTTTTAAACAAACATGGAGAGTCGGTCCTTTGAGGAATGGAATCAGCATATTGCATGTTTTTGTTAAGGAGACAAAATCTGTGACATTTGTCTTTTATCAGTTCCCAGGTCTTAAACAAAAGCATTTACTCACAAATTATTTACCTGATGAGGAACAAGTCCAAGAGAAGTAGGGGGCTCATTCATTCTATCATCACTACTGCTGGCCACAGCATAACCGCTGCCAAAAATTCAAGAAGGAAAATTAGAACAAGAGCACACTCAGAGTCAAAATTTCCAGTCAGCTTCGAGGCATTTTGTTACAGTTCACAGTTTAGAATCTGGAAAGGAACCTATCTGGAAAGTCTGTTTCAGAGTAACTAAGATACACCATGGGGATATAAATCAGTCTGAGACTTGTAATGTGCTCATGGCCAACTCCTAAGTCACTTTTTCGTTCACGGATTTTAAAGACAGAAAAAAAGCCTCGATTTCAAGTTGCAGGATTTCAGAATAATTACTGTATTAAACCCACTTAATTTTAATTAAGGTTTGCAATATGTGGCTTATCTTGAAGCCCTTCATGGGACACAGATAGTTACGACAGCTGTTCATTACACTCAAACACTGTCCAACAAGGGAATGCCAAGATCCACTAACAGCAATATTTTCTTCTCAATACTTTTCTACTGTTAAACTCAGAGAGAAAATAAAAAGAAAAACTCAAGATTTGATGAATCAGTTCTCTCAGACACTGTTAAATTACACTAATACAGTAGATGTGATCTATAGATTACATTAATCTACAGACAACACTACAACTTACAGAATTGTCCTACTTGGTGTGTACTTCCTTCTTCTCAAAAGATTTTATTGAATTTGTCTTATTTCTCAGATAATACCAGTGCAGAAATGACTCACCCTTCTGGATGCTGTAAAACAGAAACCATTAATTCCACTGCAAGGGCTCCAGCTACCATGGCTAATCCAGGGCGACTGACTGTGCACTGCTGGTCCAGTGTCCGATCCCTGGTGGACTACAAAGATAGACAATTCTAAAGGAAAGAAAAAAAGTAACTCAAAAGTAACTATCTGTCCTGCTACACAAAACAACCTTAGTTCTGTGCAATTAATTTCTTTGATCTTCCAAGTAAAAGATGAGCCATTTCTTAATCCCATGTACATCAACTTAAAACAAATCCCTTCATGAAACTTCATTTAAAGGAAATAAAAAATTCAAGTCACGACAGAAGGAATATATAATCACCAGTTGCATAAAGTTCTACTCACATCCCCTGGTGCCACAACATCATTGCAGAAGTAGCAGCCCAGTTTATAGCCAGGGATATTTGAAAAGAGTGACGATCCCAAAAGATCAGAAGGACCAGCAGCATTGCTGAAACACAAATCACCAGACTCTTGCTGTTTTGGTTTCTTTAGGCCGTGTCTCATAACAACAAAAGTGTCAAATCCCAAGGCAGCATTGATGACCAACTGTGAACAATAAAGGGAGAACAAGAGATTTTAAGTGAGCCAAAAAGGGAGGGGAAAAAAAGGCCTCAAGGCTTTATTAACTGTAAATGTCAAAAACCCCCACATGCTGTAGACAGATGAACTACCCATTAACTGCATATCTACCATCCTTGCAATAAACAATAAAGTTTCTGAAAGGTGCAGAATTCCAGTTATCAAGCGCTTCTAAGAAACAAAACCTAAATAAAAGTCTGTTTCAGAAAGGCATAAACCTTCGCCTTTTTCTGTGTCTTTCAGGGAAATCTGATACAAATTAATGACTCCAACTACCTGCTACACAAACCTATGCACACTTGCTGACAAAGAAGTAACAGGAACTTCAAGCAGTGAAACACCATCTGTTATCCAAAAAAAAAACAACCACTTCTGCTCAGTAAGGAAAGCAATTAATGATTACTTATGGTCTTCATATGCATATGCTTAGTCACGTGGGGAGCACAAGCAGCTATGGCACAGTTACACTGTCATCATTTTCCCTTTTCTCTCTGGTTTTTGGCAAGTGTTAGGGTAATCTGGAGCTCTGTATGTTATAAGCATAACATCAATAAAATAATGACTGTAGCCAGTAAAATCTAAAGGAAAATTCTACACTGCTTCACATGCAGATACTTTTGATAGAAATTCTAGTGCAGCAGTTCGTAATTTTTCATTCTTATAGGCAGGAATTATTTAAAAGAGGGACTCTGAGGGAAGCTATAAAGAATTAGCCATCCTAACAGCAAGCTTGTGAGTTGCATCATCATTCTCGGTATTTCAAATAATTTCTGGATAGTCTCTTTCGTAGTAGTTTTTTCTCCCCTCAGTTCTAAAGTAGAACCATGCTGTTGAATCTGTGGCAGCACACCCAGGTCTACAGCAAATAAAGACTGCATCTTCTCATTACATCTACCTGTAAAGCCTGAATATGGTATTCCACCTTCGAAATACCAGTAACATGGCACGGCTGGTATTACCAGAAATTAATAACATTGCCAAACACTTCCCACTGCAATAAGCTGTTTCTCTCTTTTCAGTTTACTGGCTCGCAACTATTTCAATCTAACTGATTGACCCTTAACAAAAAAACCCAGAATCATCTGGTTTGGATAAAGAGACAATGGAAAAGTGTCTCTTGGCATGCATTAAAAAAAAAAAAAAAAAAGGTGCAAAATTTTACAAGTTCCAGTGCTCAAGAGGAACAAAGGTTTAACATCTGACATGAGGATTTAACACTTGAGGGGTCTAAGATGCTTGTTTTGGGGAGAGGACTGCAGGAATATCAAAGAATGACTATATGGGAAAACCAGCTCTTTCTTCTACCTATGTACCTGTTTTTATGCACTTTACACACATTCTCACTCACTAGGTTCTTCATATTCCATGTGCCTTTTTTGAGACCTTGGGGACCAAACTGCAGTACTTCAGATCTGCAGTCATCATACAAGATTGCATTTGAAACAGAGCTCTCATTAGATGCGTGTCAGCACGAAGTACTGAGCATTTCAGTTTGGACACCTTGAGATTTCACTGCTGTGCTTATTCAGTGACAGGGAATTCCATCTCCTCATATCAAAGTGATCTTATCAAATCAACTAACTGTGATGCAGACACACTATGCCACTGAATAACAGAGAAGTGTCACAAAGAAATTTTAAAATTTGTCATCAGAATATGATTTGAATGCTGCAAGGCAAACGTAGTGGGGCACTGTTAGCTAAGCAAATGTGGGGGGAGGTTTTAGAGATCATTAAAACAACCCTGTTCTGACTGAACCAGACAGGCTGCATATAAAATTGCATATATTTCTTACAATTACCAACCACCATACATATGGAAGAGTAGGCTGGCACTTTCCAGTTCAATACCCAGCTTTGCAAACTCACTCTTTATGCCATTTCTGAGCTTTTTTAAACAGCTAAAAGATTGCTGAAAGACCACAGGTGCAAACTGCAGAGCAGACAGGAGGATTAAGGAGGAATTGATTAAGTTATCAAGTTACACCCACTCACACCTGAAGTTATAGTTCAGTGAAGTCTGCACTAAAAAGACACACTGATCTTTCTACTGGCAAAGGGAAGTTCATTTGAGCTACAAAGACATACAAGACTATTGTTCAGGATCAGAAATCTATTTAAATTAAGGAAAGAATGAAAGAAAAGAAATGGTACAATACCTTCCTCTTACTGGCTGCAATGACAGCAGGAAGCCATCGACTCTCTCTAGTGTCCATCAGTAGGAAAACAACATCATGAGTATCAATAAGCTCTTCAAGTTTAGCCACGTCCTTCCGAGCCTGTGCCATTGTTACCTCAGAAAAATTCACTGGGTGACCTGGCATAGGGATGCTCATGTTATAGCCTTCTGAGCTCTAGATGGAGGCAGACAGAAAACAACAGGTTAAAAAGATAACCTTGTGACTGAATAGAATTAGTATAAAATTCAATACAAAACTGTAGAGTACAAATTCAATTACTCTTTGGCAGAATGGCAACTTTCTTCTTGACATCTCTGTGTGACAGCGCAGTGCTGAAGTTTCTGAGTCTCAGCTGCTGTATTTATCCAGAACAGAGCAGCTCAGTGCAAACAGACTAGTTTGGGTCACGAGTGCAGACCAACCCTGTTTATGTGTCTCAGAAGGTCTTTTTAGGCCTAGCAAATCACTACAAGAAGGTAATTGAATTGCTCTTAATCCCAGAAATTACAAACATCCTCACTACAAAGGCAAGCAATCCCGTTTACATGTGACTATGATCCAGTTGTTAAACATGTATAAAATCTTTGTTTTGGATTCTCTTTGCAGTCACTTCATACATGATGTTCACAGGATGCAGTTCACATTTCTGATATGGAATACTGACTTAGTTACAGTAAGGCACGTGAAGCATCACACATTCTGCTCTTTGTTTTAAATTCCTTAGTCTCAAATGATTTTACTGTAATTCAACCAGCCATATGTGAAGCTGATATACAAGAAAAGCACTTCTGAGACTTGTTACTCTAGAGCTTGGCTGTCTGGAGACTTGTACTGTGCAGATGCTGAAAAGAGCATATTTCTGTTGCAGAAACATGTTCCTCTTCCAACCCCCTACTTGGGCAAGGCATACTAAGCAGAAAACACTGAGCCAAATAAGCACATACACAATGCATATACAATGCAAACAATTAAGTCATTAATTTGGAAATACATTAACACAATCTGTCAGCCATCTGCTATAAGAGGAGAATGGATCTTCATATATGTTAAAGCATAAGTTTTGCCAAAGCCTCCCTGCCTGTCACTGTGCCCTAAGCAACCAACAGTTTAAAAGACAAAATTTAAAAGCTGGATGAACCAAAGATAAAATTGCATGGAAAGAGAGAAAAGGAAGGTTGGTGGAATGTGCTTCTTGTATAGACCGACTACAAGCATAACTCATAAATCCAGGTGAGGTAAATAACCAGAAGGGTGAATGTACATTCTAAACGTCACAAATACCCCTGAGGATGATAAAAAGAACAAGGCACATATAGCAGCTTGGGGAAATTAATTCAGTAATATCTGTATTAACCACACCAAAGGATATACTTTTTTTTTCCCCTTTTTCCCTCACTGCCACCTCCAAGGGCAGGAAAGTAGAGCCCACAGTGACCCAGCATGCTACCAACACAGAGCTGTTTCCCAGTGAGAACAGCTCTATATCACCAGCACAACACTGGGTAATTACTGAAGGAGGTTCTACCTTCAGGGTCATTATACCCTCAAAAAGCTGCGGCAGGAACAGAAAACTTAATCCATGTTGTACATGAATAATGTATTTATAGATAACTCATTAAGTCATGCTGCACACAAGTGCTGATTTATTACATAAGCATAACTGACACTGCTGGTGACTTAGGAGGTTGATTTTTGTTCAATAAATTAACACAAACAAGTAAACGAGTTAAACACCACTTGCATAGAAATATGGTAACCGGGTTTGTAAAATACAAAAATCTCAGCAGAATTCAGAAAAAAAACATCCTGTGACTATAGCTGTAGGAATACAGACAAGTCTAGCAGCTTCAATAGTTTCAACTGTTCCTTGAAAATGTCATGGTTTGAGAGCCCCAAAATTGAATTCCCTAGTCCAAGCCCCCTCCCACATCTCAACCCAGTGTGATATGGGTTTTCCAGACACCACACGAGACTCAAAATGGGGGAAAGGGAATCTATATTACAATGACTGTACAAAATAAATACTACAATACATTATATACAATCTTAACTATCTCTAACCATGACAAAACAGTATTTACAATGGATCAAATCTCTTCTCCCCTCCAAATAAAAGTCCAGGAGGGAAGAAGGAAAAGATCCTTTCTGCTCTCGGAGCAGCAGTGTCTCTAAGGCAGCAGGCATCTCTGTCTCTCTCTTCCATGCAGCAGCTGTAGCTGGATGTCTGCCAGTACACACGAGGGGGTATCCAAGCCCCTCGACCCATCGTCTCCAAGCGAGGGTCTTCTCTTCTGTAGGCTGTGTTCACCGGGACAAGGGTCACTTCACTACGTCATATCACGAAGCTCAGGGGTCTTTGTGACGGTCCCTATCTTCAGGGGATTCAAATTCCCTTTGCAGAGCTCTGTGCTCTATCTCAAGCAGCTGGGGGGCTAAGGTCACCCCCTCCGCATTCCTTCTCGGAACTTTTCAGCTCCTTTCTGCAGTGCTGCTGCAGTTTTAGGACTTCCATTCTGTAGGAGTCTATCCTCTCCACTTAGGAAAGGTCACAAAAGGAGTTTGGGGGTTTTTGATTCAGTTCTTACCCCAGAACTCTGTCTCTGTCTGTAGAGCTTAGTCTTGTTCTCTCTCTCTGCTGCTGGCTATCTTTCTCTTTCTCTCTCTCCTTCCAGCAGTTCTCTCTGTTGTTGCTGCTTGGTCTTATCTCTTCTGGCTCTCTGCCACTTTCTCCATCCACTGCTGTTCTGCCGCTGCTTTTCAGTATCTCTTGCTGCGGCTCACAGCGGAGAAACATCCCCCGGCTCAGCTACAGACACTTAGCCCAGTTTTACAATGTTCCAAGTCCCTGCAGCCCCCAGCTGGGGGCTGGGGGGGCCAGAGCCCCCCCAGGGGGCTCTTGCCCTTTCTCCTCATGGCTCTACAACATGGCTACTTCTTCAACTACAACAATCACTACACCTTCTCTTCCGGTCTGCTTATGATATGTTTATACTTTTGCAGAAGCACTCATTGGGTAAAACCTCAAGGGTCACCACCCCCTGGGGTTTTACCATTTTATAACTTCAGGGGGAAAACTGTTTCCTCCCACCACAACTGTCCACCCCCTCGCTTTTGTGAAATATAACATATCACAACAATTTGAAAAACTCTAATCAACATGCAATCTTCAATAAACTAAAATATAACCAAAAGCTCTCTACTACACATCAATATAGCATTATCACAAACTTAACTCTACTCTTAGTACTTAACTTACATTACTATAGACTTACTTTCTCTACAATGGTACAGTCTGTGTTTTGTCTGGAAACTCTTTCTGTTATCACAAGCATCATGGCTCTTATCTCTTTATCTCGATGGATCAAAACCATCCTCTGCTACCAAAAATGTCATGGTTTAAGAGCTCCAAAATCCAATTCCCTAGTCCAAACCCCCTCCCACATCTCAACCCAGTGTGATATGGGTTTTCCAGACACCACACGAGACTCAAAATGGGGGAAAGGGAATATATATTACAATGACTGTACAAAATAAATACTACAGTACATTATATACAATCTTAGCTATCTCTACCATGACATACAAGTATTTACAATGGATCAAATCTCTTCTCCCCTCCAAATAAAAGTCCAGGAGGGAAGAAGGAAAAGATCTTTTCTACTTTCAGAGCAGCAGTCTCTATGGCAGCAGGCTCTCTTCTTCTCATGCAGCAGCTGTAGCTGGATGTCTGCCAGTACACACGAGGGGGTATCCGAGCCCCTCGACCCATCGTCTCCAAGCGAGGGTCTTCTCTTCCGTGGACTGCGTAGCAGGGACAAAACTCACTTCACCATGTCATATCATGGGATGTAAGACCCCCATGAAGGTCCCTTCCTCAGGGGATTCACCCCTGAGTCAGAACATCTTGGGCAGCTTTCAGTTGAAGGCCTTTGCCTCAAGAGTTCTATCAGAGCTCCTGTGCTCTGATCTCAGGCTGCTAGCTTAGCTTGGCAGCAGCGGCGAGGGGGGCCAAGGTTACCCCCTCCGCATTCTTTCTCTGAGCTTTTCAGCTCCTTTCTGCAGTGCTGTAGCACTCCAGACTCTTCTCAAGCAAGAGTATATCATCCTCCTCCTAGGAGGGGTCTCAAAGGAGTTTGGGAGTTTTTTTTGGTTCTTACCCAAACGCTCTCTCTCTCTAAGCTCTGTAGAGCTTAGTCTTGCTTTCTCTGCTGCTGGCTCTCCTTCTCTCGGACAACTCTGTGTCTCTCTTGCTCGGCTGCATGTTTGTTTCTGCTGCTTCTCCCTTATCTCTTCTGGCTCTCTGCCACTGCTCTCTGGACACTGCTCATGCTGCTGCTCTGTCTGCCAACTCACGGTGGAGAAAACTTCTTTAGCTTTCTAGCTACAGGTACTTAGCCCAGTTTTACACTGTTCCAAGTCCCTGCAGCCCCTCAGCCGGGGGCTGGGGGGGGCAGCCCCCAGTGGGGCTGCTTCTCCTCGTGGCTCTACAACATGGCTACTTCTTCAACTACAACAATCACTACACCTTCTCTTCCGGTCTGCTTGTGATATGTTCATATTTTGCAGAAGTGCTCATTGGGTAAAACCTCAAGGGTCACCACCCCCTGGGGTTTTACCATTTTATAACTTCAGGGGGAAAACTGTTTCCTCCCACCACAACCAGTCACTAGCAAAAGTGGCTGAGGTTCACTTTCGCAGCCAAATGCTGGCAAAAAGAGCTCAAAGAGTAGCTTGGGATGCCACATGAATATTTTTTTAAGGAAGAATAAATACACATATATCTCCAAAGACAGACCTTGCTCATTCCAAAATCTCAGGAGTCTCTATGTGATGAAAAGAATTCTGCTTCACTGCTCACAAAAAAGCTTAGATTTTAAGACCTTCACGCTAAAAAAAGTTTTTAAAGTTACCATCCCATAAAGTCATAGAATCACACAGAACTCCTTTTTTTTAGAAGTATGTTGACATGTGCAAAACCATAAAAGATAATGTACTTTTCAACACTTTCACTGACAGCTGATCAAAGCTGTGCTAAAGGCTCTAATGCTTTTGGGTTTTTTGCATTTCTTTTTAAAGCCAACAGCCAAAATATTGCAATTTGTGATGCTACCATAACATTCTCTCTCATTTTTATTCTCATTTCTATTAACTTTCTGCATTTTTGGTTAAACCAT